CCCCGCCGCCGGGAGGAGGTGCCCGCACGCTCGCGGCGCGCGCCGGCCCCGGACTCGGCCTGTGGGCGATTTCCTCCGGACCCAGGCTCCGCGCCCGAGGAGGAAGATGCAGACCTTTCTCAAAGGGAAGAGAGTTGGCTACTGGCTGAGCGAGAAGAAAATCAAGAAGCTCAATTTCCAGGCCTTCGCCGAGCTGTGCAGGTAAAGAGGGACGCGGCTCCGACGCCCGGGGACCCCCGGCCTCAGCCCGGCTCAGCCTCAGCCCGGCTCAGCCTCAGCGGTCGCTGGGGAGGCGAGGGCAAAACGGGAAGGAGCGGTGAGCGCGGAGGCTGCGTGCGCGGAGCCAGGTGGCCGTGGGGCCGCCGGCAAGTCGGAGGGGAGCGGTGGCCAGTATGGGCGATGGCTCGGACCAGAGCTCTCAGGTGCACTGTGCCTGGCCCCGAAGCCCCCAGCCGCGCGGGGAGCGCTTCTGGAGGCTGGCGGAGGTCCTGGGCAATCCGGGGGTCCGCGCTGTCAGCTGGGGGTTTGAGGGTACTTTTGCACAGACGTGTTTGTCTTCCTTGGTCACCTTCCCCGTAGTGGAGAAGGGCACCAACGTTTATGGGCCACCTACTACGTGCCACGCGTGTGCTCGGCTCTTGGAGCTGTCATTGCATATCACTCGGTTGAGCCCCATTGAAGCGAGCAGCAATACTTGGCTTGTATGTGGTGATTTGCTGTCTCATTAGAGCCTCACAACAGCCTTGCAAATTGGCCAGGGTGGTGATTCTAGGCCACGTGTCTGGGAAGGGGTACCGACCAGCTAGCGAGAGGGGTGGGGTACTTTCCTGGGTCCCTTGGCTTAGGAGTGGCTTGTGTAAAGAAGGGGCTGTGGCCTTCTGCCATCTGCTGACTGCCCCCCTTCCACCATGCTCAGTGGTGGAAACAGCGTTCGGTAGATTACATTCTTGGTAAATTACAGAAGTATGGAGTCTTGTGTCAAGTGTCCCTTGTCTTGCTCCACAACTGTGACTTTGCCCCTGAAATACTGTTAAATTCCCTTTTCAATGAAAGCCTGAGAGGCTCTGATTTCCCAAGCCGTTTGCAAACTCCAGGTGGAAACCTTTGTTACGCAGTGTCTCCATTTGGTAGATTTGATTTTTGAAAATGGGCCCCAGTTGCATTTTTGACCCTGTTGAGTGCCCAGACATCTAGGAGAATGGAATAGTTGGGTCTCTTTATCCTTGGTGTGCAGGGCAAGGCACCATCTGAATTGGCACATGCTGGCAGCACCTGGGTGCTCCTCACTGCTGTCCCCAGGGCTTTCTGCACCTCCATCCAGTGCAAGTAGCACAGGCACTTTCTGCTGGTTGGCTGCCTCTCCCAAACAGGCTTCGTTGGGATTTTCATGGCCAGCAAGGCGTGCAGAGTGGCCCTAGGAGTTTATAAGGAAATCAGGAGGAACTCGGAGCCAGAGCTTTGACGATGGGGTATAGGGCTTCTGGAACATTGAAATAGGACATTGGAGTATTGCACCCCAGATACACACTCTTATGAAAAGGGTGCCCTAGACACTGAAGAAATTTGGAGAAGCCCCTGTGGCTTTCTGGAAGTCCAGTTGTGATGTGGGGCACTGGAGCTCCCCCTGCCGTCATCATGTAAGACTTGGGAGATCCCAGTTAACACTTTGCACCTTTTTTACTGATAATGCGTTGTGTCACTCTTTCTGTAACCAAAGCTTGAGATTTGTCCTTGGGTTGGTAGGTTTTACTCAGTAATTAGCAGCCTCTAGTAAAAGAGTCCAGGCTGACTCAGGGCTGGGACCTCATGCCAGACCTGCTGGCTTGCCTTTCTTTTGGACCCCCCCTGCCTTTGAAGGGGTAGGGGCTCAGGGCACCCAGAGGGGCAACTGTTCTGGGGAAAATTGGGAGTAGAGTGTTAATTTTTGTAGAAGGGCTGTTGAGTTCAAGGTCTGATTGCCTTCCTTTGTCCAAATATTGGCTTCAAAAAGAAGGCAAAGGCCTCTAGGCCATTCTAGAACCCCAGGAAGCCCACTCTGTTTTCATTACCGAAGCTTTAGATGTTTTGTTGGGTAAGCTTAAGAAGGAAAAGAAAACACCAAAAGGAGTTTTTGTTTCTTCTTCCACTTCCAGGGCAGTGCCCTCTGGTGGCCACATTTCTATGCTGGCTGCAAAATCTTCCAACTGTTGGGATGGTGACCGGGGCCTATGCTGTTTTGTTTGGTGTGAATGTCCATGAGACAGTGTGGATGGTTGTCTTCATCACTCAGACTCTGAGGGTGCAGTCCTTCAGTATTGATGGATGATCAGTATTTATGGATGATGAATTCTATATTGAAAAGTCCAGGGATGTTGGAGATGACTTGATGTTGCTCTGAATGTTTGGGGGCAGTGCCCTCACCAGAGGGAATTGTTGGACTGGCCTGGGATGAGTTGTTTAGTTCAGTGTCAGGCCTTATAAAAACCTTATCAAGACATGGAGAGGTTGTCTCTTCCAGCCTTGTTTTACAGATGTGGAAATGGGTGCCAGAGAGAGCAGACTCCATACTTCTGCTCTTTTCCTGTGCCTTCTGCATTGAGTCCAACCTAGTGACCTTGAGATGTGCTCAGAGAGCAAAGCCTTTCTTTCTGGGCACTTCCAACAGAAGGTGCCCTTGTTCTCTTCTCAGGGTCCAGCTGCTTCTGTTTTGTCCCTAGCTAGGGACACTTTCCTTGCAAGACTGAGTTGTGCCCTCCACAAGTGTAGTGCCCTGTTCTCCCAGAGGTCAATGCCTGTGGGTGGCATCAATAGGTGGTTGAGCTAAGTCCTGGGAAGTGCCCCACCTACATGAGGCAGGTACAAGGGCCAGCCCTTTCAGCTGTGATAGGATGGGGCCTCTGGCCAGCCAGCAGATGAGCCTTGGAATCAGCTTGTTTTCAGTGGTACTGTTTGTTCCTGTTCCTCCTCTGTGTCTTCCCCTCTCTGTGGAGACACAGGACATGGCTCTGGTTGAGTTCATTTTCCCCTCCCACCTGCCTCCCAGTTCCTAGGCTGGGGCCACCTCATACCCTCTCTTTGTGGCTTTTTCAAGGTGCCTAGAAGAGGCCCCCAAGAAGCAGTGGAGGACTAAAGTTGTGGGTCGGACAGATTGGGAAATTTCAGGGAGCTTCTGTGTTTGTTTTGTCCCTGTGGTGCTCCTTTGGGGAATGCTGGCTGGCCTGGGTTCCTCTCGTTCATGTTTTCTGTGCCTCTCCATCAGGTCCTTTTCTGCCGGTGGAGCTACAGGAGGTTGTGACAGAGGCACGTGGCATCATGAAGCCCTCTGATATACCGTGTGGGTGAACATTGTCTGTCTTTACTATAACGACAGCTGATTTTTAATGAGTTGCTTCTAAGTACCTCCTCGCATCTCATCCTTCTAGCAGCCAGGGGTGGAGAGATGGGGAAAATGAGACTCCGCATGCAGAAGGGACTGGCACAGCCTGTTGGAGGGCTTCCCTGAGCTCAGGCTGGAGCCTTGCCACCTAGAGTACAGCCTCCTTGTTTACTAGGTGTCTCCTTGCCAGCTGAGGCCCAGCCATTGTAGAGGCTCAGCAGGAGAATGCCTGTGAAGTTCTTGTCTTCAGAGCATCAGAATCCAGCTAGGCCCACTCTGCTTTTGGGACTCATGCTCAGGGAGCCATCTCAAACCATGCACGTTGTTTGTCTCTGCATCTTTTCCCACTGAGGACCCATTTGTAAAGTTCCCAGAAGGCACCATGGAGTTCACTGATGCTCAGGTTTACTGAAAGCCTTCTAGAATCCATGCTTGGTGTTGGGCTGGGGGTTGGGGTACAGTGCCTAGAGCATGCCAGGGAGAGTAGGTGCTGTTGGGCCTATCCCTTTCCCTTGGACCCTACATTTCTTCTTCTTTTTGGTAGTGCAAGGAATTGAACCCTGGGCCTTTCACATGCTAGATGAGCACTCTTCTACTGAGCTACCCACCATCCCCATTTTTTCCTTTAAATCAGAGCCATCCTGAGGCCACTGTGTTCCAGGATGGCTTAGCACTTTGGGCTGGAAGTCTTCCAGGAGATTCTGCAGAAGGAGAAAGGAGGCTCTTTTCCAGAATTCAGTGATACCAATCTGGGTTGGTATTTATTCGTTGATTTTAATGGCAGGATTTGCCACCATCTTGGAGGCGTGGAGGTGGGAGGAGGTTCTGACTTAGGTTTCCTTTGTGTGGCACGTGGGGAATATCCATAACTCAACCTTGCAAATAAGCCTTTCCTGCCAGCCTCCTAGGGAGTAGACTGGACTTCTTGTCAGAGCAAATACCCATCTGGATGCAGAATGTCTTTGATGAGGCTGTGAAGGTTTCAGGCCAAGCTCTACAGCTGACTACCATGTGACACCCATTTGGTGTTGTTCTTGGATTTGGTAGTTTGCAAGTGGCCCTGAGGTCTCTGATGTTAGCTGATCATGGGGTGTGGGGTTTGCGGCTTCCCTGATGGTTCTATTTTCCTTTAATGCATGGCCCATCTGAATCCCACAGTGCCCACTCCTGCCCCCATGGACTGCTGTTCTCACCATTTTATGGGTGAGGAAGCTGAGAAAATTATTTGACTGCAAGGTGATACTCTCATCTTTTTAAGTGTGGAGATTGGAGAGTTTGTGCTGGACTTCCTGGAAATGCCCTTTCTGTTAGTGATTTAGAACAGGCTTGTGCTTGTGTTTCTCTTCTGGTAGTGAGATGCAGGAATTCACATTGTTGGGGCTGACTAGGCATCACCAGGCAGAGCTAGGCTTATTGGCATGGCAGGCTGGGTGCCTCTGATCCGAAGCATTGAACCACTCTGTCTCCACTAGTTATTTCTCCCAGTGGACTAGCAGGTTTGGATTATCTAATAAAATCCCAGTGAAGTGCCTTGTAAGTACAATTCCTGAGCAGCTGGATGTAAGCAGGGTTTCTGTCCCCATTTATATTTTGCATTTGGCTGGTAAGTTTACTTCCGAGGGTATGCTGTGGCACCTTCTTCCTTCCTTGGCAGAGCCACTGACTGAACCCCTAACCCCTTCCTGCATGAATTGGGCCTTGGAGAGCTGGCCTAAATTGGTGTGGCCTTGCTTTGGAAGGTGTTGCAGTCCTGGGAGGGAAACCCAGGCCTGGCATGTCCAGAGTCACACAGAGGGGCTATGGCAGAGGACGCCCTGCTCTAGTACCAGGGTTCCTGCCCCCTGCT